ATTTTTACATTTGGTTAGTAAAATCATTTATATTTTATGAATAATTTACAAAAATTATAAATTTTAAATTCATGATTTTCAAATGTTCAGATGGAAGAAGAACCTATAGCTAAAARTTTGACTAATAATTTGTTCAACAAATACATACATTATACAATTGTACCAAGAGGCCCTCCTAGATTGCGGTCTGCAGGAGTGGATCGTACTGATGGAGATTACGAAGATGAATACTCTTGCAATCCACCAGCATTGTGTATGGTTATTGTTAGTCTGATCGAAGTAAGTTACAATAATAATATTTTGCATAAAAATAAAATAAAATGAATTAAAAAATTAAAATATTCTCCATTTTATAAATTAAGTTATTTTTATTAATATTTGTTAAATAATATTGGTTTGTACAGTATCTTCTTAAGGCTTCAATTAAACATTATTTCTGATGTAAACAATTCATTTTTAAATAGTAGTTGTAGTTGACTATTAATTAATTTGAAATTTATATGACAAAAACAGTAGAATAATATTATTAATGTATTCTTAGGAACTATTATAACTATGTAAAATTCAAATGAAATTCCATTAATCAATTATAAACATTAACATTATTACTATACATAAATTAATTGCTACTATATTTTTTTATCGTACATAGGTACTATTTTTCACTTGGGATGTTTTGAAGTTGAAAACAACAGAGTCAATCCAAGGTCCTATGGCTTCAATGTTTATTTACAATCCTCATCATAGACGTGAAGCTTGGCGGTTTCTGACCTATATGTTTGTACATGTTGGGTAAGTTTTTTTTACTAATTAAAATAATTCTTATCAGGGGCACAATCAAGGGGACAGCCAGACAGCCTTTAGATCTCCTTCCCCTCCTTTAGAGATTGAATAAATGCAAAAAGTTTAATTTTAATTAATTTTTTTTTCTGTATTGTATATCTTACCATTTATAAATGGTAATAAAAAGTCACTTGTTACATAAAATACAACCAATTATGTAACCAGCCTTCAATAAGCCATATGCAATTGAATATTAGTATATTACAAAAGAATGTGTTAACTTCTTCC